AGATGATCTGCACCGTATTCGATTTTGAATAAACTTTTTTTTGCATGATTATGTGCAACATGTAAAAAGCCAATTATATAAAGTGAATTTGACTTAAAAGTTCGGACTTTCAACTAAGTAATTATATATAGGTATGACTGTATATACTTTAGCGTCAGTATTATACTTCAATATTCGCTACTATCCTCGATGTCTCACCCTTGGTTTCGAAGATTGCAAAAGTTTGTAAGAAACATCTCTTCCAATAGTAACGGGTCATCAAATGGTAAGGTAAAATATTCAATTTTTTTGGTAGGACATCGTAAACTGATATTTGCTAATGAATAACATACTTTAGATAGCACTCTTGAATATCTGACACGTAATGCACTAGGTATTGGTACTGCGATTAGCATTGGGACTAGAGATGTGATCCGCGGATATCCGTCATCCGTTCATCCGTCATTTATCTCTAGAAATCAATCCGTCATCCGTTAATTGCTCAAAAAATACATCCGTTGGATTTAAACGAATTATTCGGATTATCCGTAAAATTGAACGAATCACCCGGATTGTATGGATTATCTGCGATTTGAACGGATAATTCAGCAATATTAGTATTAGTATTAGTATTCGATCACGTGCGCGTTACAATTTTGTAATGCCGATAATAAAATGCTACAAAAAGAGTAGTAATGCTAATACGACGTCAAGTCGCTCCAAACGAATACTATCTATGGTAAAACGGGGGGGGGAGTTGTGCATTGTAAATAATTTAAATTTTTTATATGTATTACATATTTCTAATCAATTTTAAATTAATAAATGTCACAACAAGATTACGTCGTTAAAAAAAAAAAATAAAAAAAAATAAAAGGCTTTTGCATAAAATTTTCATTACACTAAAATTTGGTCAATGATGATTTTATCTACCCAAGTGTATGGGAACTGAAACAGTTAAAAATATTTCACTTGGGTGTTAATACAAATTAGGAAGTCCATGTAATTTACAATTGTTACAAAAATATACAAACATTTACATCATCAGAGCTAAATTCAATACGAGAACATGTGAGATCCAGAATGACATTGTGGGTTTTTGTTTCAGATTTGAATTTAAAAAAACATCCACTTGTTTTAGTTAGAAAAACAATTAGTTTTTTTTTGTTTGCATTTAGCCTGCATATAATGCATATCAATATGTATGTATATACCCCACGTTAATTTATAGGATGAGATAATAATAATTATAGTCATTATATATAAAGTTATATATAGAAAACATTTGTTTGCCATATAAAGAAATTTTTTAAATATATATATATAATGAAAATAATATTGATGACGAATATATAGGT